AAAGCACACTTACCCTTTAAGACTACACTTCATCACATCATATGAGTGTTATTAAACAGGAAAGTGATATAGATGATGTCATTGACGTACTGATGTTTTCCAGCACTGAGTAAATGTGTTTTAGAAATCTACGGGGCAGTAATGTCATATCGATCACACTTCTTTTATTCATTGAGTGACAAAATATTTACAGCTGTTGGTGTCATAGAATATTTTATTTTAGCTTTAACTCTCCCGGAGCCTGAGGCTTTCATACGCTTTATATGTGCACACATTAAAATATATTATCACCTTGCTTAGTGCATCATTCCCAATGAGCTGTCATTACACTGGCTGGTCTCCACTGGTAAATGGGAAACAGTTTTGGAAATCTGGAAAGATGTCAAGTGCGTCTGTGCCAGCATCTTGGATAACGTGTCACTGACACTTCCCTGGCACTGTTCAAGCCCAACTGTCCCCATTATGGAGGTTGTTCTGCTTTGCTTTCTTTGCCTTTAAGGATGAATCATTTTACGCATTGATTAACACAATAGAAATGCTTAGTTTGCTTTTTTTACAACATAAGGGTACCTTTATCAACGCTCTAGTGATGTTTGCATTTTTGAGGCAGTTATTATTTTGAATGCATTTTTTAAAAATGTATTTTTTTTAAAAATCCGATTAACCGATTAATCAAACTTAATAATCGGCTAACTAATCGATTTGGAAAATAATCGTTAGCTGCAGCTCTATGCAAGTTAAAAGGTGTAAGTTATGAAGGTCATGTAGATAAAAAAAATAGGTGCACTTCCCTCTAAATGCACGTTTGCATGGAGCTCCATCACAGCACAGCAGCCCACACTGGACCCCAGGCTGAGGATCCACTCCAGTTCTCATAAGGTAGGGAGACTGGGTGGATCTTAAAAAAATAATAATTTTTTTGGAGTGTGTATATGTGTGTGAGATTGTGTGTGTGGTTGTGTATGTCTGTCTGTGTTTTTGAGGGCCCGTTCACACTAGTACAGTGCGTTAATCGAACAATCCTCTTCAATTAACGCACTGTACCACGCAATCACACCTACTATGTGTTCTGGTGCAGGAGGTGCATTGCGATGCCATTCATTTGAATGGCACCCCAATCGTACCTCCTGCCCTCAGTTCAATCGCCCGCACCTGACAGTGCGGTACCGCAATGCCGTGCGTCTCAGTTCAAACGCCCGCACCTGACCGTGCGTTACCGCAATGCCGTGCGTTTCATTGCGGTGCGACTTGGGTCGCGACTTAATGACCGAGGACAAATGTGCGTCACACAGGTTGAGAACCACTGCTCTAATAGAAACGGTTGAATTATAATAAATCAAAATCTCCACTACATCATTGGGGGTCATTCATAGAAAGGTGTTTTGTGTTTTTTTTCTATTATGTTATTTTCAGTAAAAGTCTAATAGATAATCTGCAAGAAAAACAAAAACTGCGATGGCGGAGGTGCTGCAGGGTGCATTGGGGTATGCTGAGGCGGGGCAGACCATACATTTGAATAGACTGCCAAGCGCAGCTAAATCACACAGAAAGAAGTATGCGCCTCTTGATGAGAGCTTGATAGAAATTGGCCAGCAGAAGGACAGTTTTGCATCAGCAAAAACAGTGACAGCCTCAGTGAACCACTGGCCAATTTCTATCCGTCGAAAGCCTTTTCTTATACTGAAATTAAACAGATTGGAAAGCTAATGTTGTATGTAAGCCAAGCTCATCGTAAAAAAAATCCATTTCACAGCCAAATATGCTCTGCCAGAGTATATTGCCCATGACAATCATACTGTTACATCACTCCACTTGGCAGATTTGCTCTATGCCAAACAGCAACAGGTATGAATCCATAGAGACATTTGTGAAAACCCCGCAAAATCTGAAATAGATGTTTTTTGTTTTCATTTGGCCAAAGTGGAATTTTACTTTTAAATGACAATGCTGCATTTAAAAATTTTTTATCGAATCATTAAGTTGCAGCTGATTCAGGGCAGCTGTTATTCCTTTTTGCAGCAGATCATACAGTACATTGCCAGGACCAGCTCTTCTTATATTTACATGAACTTTTATTGAAAAAAAGACTTAGGCCTTTTACAGAGTCATGCTGTTTTTAAGCAATTCTAAGAATCATAGAAGCTAGTGTTTATAATATTTGCAGCCATAGGAATATAACCTAACAGCAATAGGAATTAACGATCAGTTAATTCTGCTCAGGTTTTTTTCCCAAAAAATGATATACATTATAGAGGCATGCAGACAAGCTGTAGAGGTCAGGCATATGACCCACTGGTCTCTTAAAGTGCCCACAGTATAATTTAATTTTGTTAAGAATAATGGGTATCTAGTACTAAGTATCCTAGCTGTGAAACTTAATAATATGCTTGATGTTTGTTAAAATGCTATTAGTAATACACCACAAATATGATGTACTATGTCTTTAGCTAACCTGTATCAATCTGCGAATGATTTGCCATGCATGTTTATTTGTAATACAACAACTGCATTTATTTGTAATGCAGTTATAAATCCATAGTTTAAAAACCTATAAACGTAAAAAAGCAAACAATTAAAATAAAGCTCACCCAAAACCATTATAACTTCCCTTTAAAGGTCACTTTGTAGTATCAGATTTCAGAAGCAGGTGGCACTGGAATAAATCTGTTTGTCGGCTAGAACTATGAGGTGAGTGAAAAGCACTCACCTCATAGTTCTCCTTTAAAATATTTGTCCTGAAAAATCATGGGGTCTGCCTGTAGTAGGGTAGAACACCTCATATGACTACATTCACAGATTTGGGATTTTCATTTTTCCTGGGGAAGTCTAGAGCACTCTCACGATGTTATTCAGAAAAGGAGAAGGCAGGAGAAGTGAACAATCTAGGCCAAAATAGCTGAACTGGAAAGTGAGCTGAATTGGAGAATTTTTACAAATCAGCTATGAAAAATAGCTGATGGTTCACTTTTCCTGCCTTTTTCAAACTTTTCACCCTTTTGTGAATATCCCTGTTAGTTATAGTAAACTACAGGAACCATTGATACAATTAGCAATGTTCCTGTTTTTAAGCTGGATGTAAACAGACTATCAGTACCTGATAATGCTTGTCAGCCTCAATTATCTGTATCGGTTCTGAAAAATCCATACCGGTCGAACCCTCCTCCAGAAGAAAGGACGGTGTCAGCACCAATTCAGCGTTGATTTGAGGATCTACAGCTGAATGATTTTGTTAAAGTGACATTAATGTAAAAAAAAATGTTTCCCTCCCTCCAATGTTAGTGAAAGCACTTACCTTAATTTATGTTTCTTAATCCGATCTTCTTTCCTGTCCTTTTCATCTGTCCCTCCAGCGGTGCGGCGGGTCTCCGATCCAGCGCTGACTCCTCTGTCCTTGCTGGTACTTCCTGTCCCACGGTGTCTGCATGCGGGTGTACGCGTCCATAGACTTACCTTATGTCTCTCCTCGTCTCCAGGCCGAAAATGTGAACTGTGCATGCGCCGCCCCAAGATGCTTTGCGGCCGCCCGAGAATTTTTACAATTTCGGACAGGAGTGTCTTCCCCGCTTGCTAGCAGTAGATATATGCAAAAAAAACGGAGGGTTTAATAACCTTTTGAGATACTTGAATATACTTTTAAAATGTCACTCCTGAGTTTACTGTCGCTTTAATTTAGCGGTATATTATCCTCTTCCTTTCTGTCACTTTTCTATTTTCCTCTTATTTAACATCTTGCTGGATACGCTTTATAACTATATGGTGCTGAAACATGTCTCTGGGAATAATTGGCTAGACAGTTTGATTAATTAATTTTAGCTCCAGCAGCTGGTTTACTCATTCCACTTAGATCCATCTTTTTCTTGTAGAGAAGAAAATAAAGAAGAAGCCTCATTGTACATGCAGCGTTTTTTGGATTTTCTCTCCCTTTGTCTGATTTGTTTCAGTTGGTCTATAAAAAACGTATACTCTAGCCTCATTTGACATGGATATTTCTCATTTATACTGTGTGTTTCAAGTCTGCAGATATCAAAAATAAAATGTAAGTCCACCCAAACCTGACATTTAAAGTGACACTAATCTCAGGAGTTAAATCTTAAAAATACATTCAAGCGCTTTAACTATTAACAAAAATGTATCTTATTTGTGTATCACTCGGTTATAGATCCTCAAATCATCTCTGAATTGGTGCTGACACTGTCCTTCCTTCTGGAGGGTGGGTAGTTTTATTCCCCATGGTTCCTGTGTGTGTTGTAAAGTAGCCACTGCTACTAGCCACTGCCCGCAGTGCCTGCATTACGGTCCAGTGCAATCTGCAAAAATAGTGCATGCAGCATTTTTGCAGATTGCACTGGACCGGAACGCAGGCACTAATGTGCCACACGTTCGGGTGCAGGCGAACGCACTGTGGGCGGGCGCGTGGCTGTGGTGCCATTGACTTCAATGCACCGCCACGCCCTCTCCTGCCCCAAAACAAAGTGAGACGGCTGGGTTGCGTTCCAGTGGCCTAACACCCTGGAACGCACTCTTTATGGCGTGGACCGGCCTTTAAATGTTTGCTTTGTCTAATGCTATCGGCAAGGCATGTGTTTATAATATGCAGCAGTGTTCACTGGCATCCGTACCTGCTTAGGGCGTTCTTATTTTAAGTGAGGGACAGGGATATGGGATCTGCCATTTCTGACCGGCTTCAGTGATGTCATTCCAACCCTACTTCTACTACGCAGTTAGTTATTGACCTGGAACAAGCATGCAGCCAGTGAGTTATCAAGTTCTTGTTAATCCTTTAGCTTTGTTTCAAGTCATTGACTGTCCAGGTAGTGAAGCCAGGATCAGGATGACAGCCCTGGGGTCTGCTTATTTAGACATATGTTGTATCTTTACAGGTCCCTGTTTACTGCAGTGGGGACAGTACTGGGCAGTTTGTGCAAAGTATCAGTGAGTGAGTTCTGATTGAGGTGGAACAGTCCATAAGCCCACTAAGTACACATCTTATTTTTTTTCAGAGTGATCGACTTCTTATTAAAGGTGGGAGAATTATTAATGATGACCAGTCCTTCTACGCAGATGTTTACCTCGAAGATGGCCTTATTAAGTAAGTGATTGAGAAAATTGTCTGATGTAATGTTTAATGACAATACCTTTAATGTGGAACTTTAGCCATTCATGTGCGCTAATGTGCATTGTGGTTAGGCAACTAGCGATCTGCAACGCACAGGAGTGCATTACTTTGCATTGTGGTGTGCTGCAATGTGCATCTGTTGCGGTTCAGTTAGGATTGAATAGCACCAATGTGCATTACAGTGCGTTGTGGTAACACACATGGTAACATGCGCGTTACCGCAGTGGAAAGGTGTGAAGTGGGTCCTAATGTCGTTGTCCCCCGCCCCCCAGCAGCACATTATCAATACTCTCTGCTGCCATGCTGCTCTGTTGAGTGAAGGAAATACCTATGTAATAATTCTTGGTACAGGAAGCAATGTGACTTACTCCCCTTCCTCTCATGTGACAGTGCTAATGCCTGGTGATTAGACCTTAGCTGTCACATAGGACTGGAGTAATAATACTCAGTGTAAGCTCTAATTAAAGCATGAGAAAAGCACAGGCTCATCCTAATGTTATTGCTAATGGTCTTGTATTTTGTTATTTCTTGTTTAATGTGACCTACTTTGAGCATGGAAAAATAAGAGATGTACATGGTTCTGTCCTTCTGTTGGAACCAAATTCCTCTGCCCCTCTTTTTTCCTTAGCTGTCTCTCGTTTTGGTCTGATGTCTCCTCCCAAGACCCCTGCTCTCTAGCTCCTTTGTTTTGGTCTGATGTCTCCTCCCAAGACCTCCTGCTCTCTAGCTCCCTCGTTTTGGTCTGATGTCTCCTCCCAAGACCTCCTGCTCTCTAGCTCCCTCGTTTTGTGCTGATGTCTCCTCCCAAGACCTCCTGCTCTCTAGCTCCCTCGTTTTGGTCTGATGTCTCCTCCCAAGACCTCCTGCTCTCTAGCTCCCTCGTTTTGTGCTGATGTCTCCTCCCAAGACCTCCAGCTCTCTAGCTCCCTCGTTTTTGTCTGATGTCTCCTCCTAAGACCTCCTGCTCTCTAGCTCCCTCGTTTTGTGCTGATGTCTCCTCCCAAGACCTCCTGCTGTCTAGCTCCCTCATTTTGTGCTGATGTCTCCTCCCAAGACCTCCAGCTCTCTAGCTCCCTCGTTTTTGTCTGATGTCTCCTCCTAAGACCTCCTACTCTCTAGCTCCCTCGTTTTGTGCTGATGTCTCCTCCCAAGACCTCCTGCTGTCTAGCTCCCTCGTTTTGTGCTGATGTCTCCTCCCAAGACCTCCAGCTCTCTAGCTCCCTTGTTTTTGTCTGATGTCTCCTCCTAAGACCTCCTGCTCTCTAGCTCCCTCCTTTGGGCCTGATGTCTCCTCCCAAGACCTCATGCTTTCTAGCTCCCTCATTTTGGTCCGATGTCTGCTCCCAAGACCTCCTGCTCTCTAGCTCCTTCGTTTTGGTCTGACGTCTCCTCTCAAGACCTCCTGGTCTCTAGCTCCCTTGTTTTGGTCTGATGTCTCCTCCCATGACCTCCTGCTCTCTAGCTCACTCGTTTTGGTCTGACGTCTCCTCTCAAGACCTCCAGGTCTCTAGCTCCCTTTATGGTCTGATGTCTCCTTCCAAGACCGCATGCTCTCTAGCTACCTCATTTTGGTCCGATGTCTCCTCCCAAGACCTCCTGCTCTCTAGCTCCCTCGTTTGGTCTGACGTCTCCTCTCAAGACCTCCTGGTCTCTAGCTCCCTTGTTTTGGGCTGATGTCTCTTCCCAAGACCTCCTGCTCTCTAGCTCCCTCATCATTTCCTCCCTACCTTGTGTTGTAACTGTGCTGTCTCTCTTTCTTTAGTGCTGTGCAAACTGTTGCTGCTATATACAGTAAATTCTAAATAATGATAATGAATATACCATTATAAAATATATTATTTAAAACATATTATTTTAAATGTAAATTAAATTAATTTTATTATATATTTATTTTATATCAAAAGCCGCTACAAGAGCAGGATTGCTGTGGGCCATTGTCTCAGAAGTCATAGACTTTTGATAGCTTTATGTGTCGTTTTCATCTACAGTAACAAAACTAATGTCAGTTTATGTTTTTTGTTTTTTTATCAGACAAATTGGGGAAAACCTAATTGTTCCTGGAGGAGTAAAAACGCTTGAAGCCAATGGACGGATGGTCATTCCTGGTGGCATTGATGTCAACACTTATCTCCAGAAGCCCTACCTGGGCATGTCAACAGTAGATGACTTTTACCAAGGCACCAAGGCAGCTGTAGCTGGAGGAACAACCATGATCAGTGAGTGGATTGTACCTATTGACTGGGAATCATTTTTTTTTTAAAGAAAGGTAGATGTTTGGATAACAAACCAAGAGAGTCAGAGGGCCTGTTGAGCAAGTATAAACTTATAGACGAACCTATCTCAATAAAAATCACAGAGGAGCACCTATTACCTTCACAGCAGAGATGAGCTCCAGGTTTGGGTCAATAATAAGTTTGACCCAAACACAAGCTGTTTGCCATTCACACAATTACATTTGCTGTCCAGGTGACACCAGGGCAAGAAATTATGAGTAGGGGAAGAAACTGACAGTAATCAAACCCGACAAAGGCTCTAACTTCCCTGCGAGGTATCTTTATGTATGTGCCAGTAACCCAGGTCATACCAATTATTAGCAGCATAATTGTAAATTAGCTAATTTTATGTTTATTCCTTCTCAGTTGACCATGTTGTTCCTGATCCTGGATCAAATATACTGGCTTCGTTTGAAAAGTGGCACGAGGTGGCTGATACAAAGTCCTGCTGCGACTATTCCCTCCATGTAGACATTACCTGTTGGTACGATGGCATCCGAGAGGAACTAGACATTCTTATGCAAGATAAAGGTAATACCATTACATTGATCATATCCGGGAGCCAGGCCACAGATGCTATCATTGTGACCCCTTATATATAATCCCTTTTTGTTTACTTTTCACAAAGCAATAATGTGAAATTAAGCATTAAGAGCTGACAGAAATAAGAGAAGTGGACGTGTCTGGTGCCTTCATTCATAAAATACTGTACAGAGAAAGACAAGCTAGCCATAGACAGCTTAGAGATAAATGGTTGGATTCAACAATTATCTATTCTCCATTTTCTATCCCCACCTTCCCTAGATATACGGCATTGGCTGAAATTATCACCCACCTGCCCACTCTCTGCCTCCATTGACCTAAACTTGTACAGTTGGTGAAATGTAGCATTTGTGCTTAGGAGAACTGCAGAAAGTTTACCCTGAAAGCAGTGTTATCAGGCCTACACATCTAGGGTCTTCCACTAAGGTCTGTGGCTAACCCTAGTTTGGTGAAAAAGTCATTACACATCATAATGTCGGAACGTGAAGCACGGAAAGTCTGGATACTTTAGGCTTGTGAGCTATGAGTAGAACTGAGTGGCCCATGGTGGTGCAGGGTCAGCAATATGTTTGAAGTGTATCTATGGTCAAAATGCCAAATCATATATTTATTTCCATGTTGAATTGTTATTAGTTCTAGTCTACTCCTATTAATCAGAATGATCTTAAAGTTTGTAAACTTACTTTTTGAGAAATCCCACAGGATTTACTTCCTTTAATGCAGTGAGTCACACATATTCACTACGCCCTGTGAATATGCATTGCTGTGTCACCTATTTCACAAATCCTGCTGTCAGAACTACAGAGAAGAGGAGTTTTAGGAGATACATTTAGTACAGAAAATGCCCCACATGTAAAGTCATCACTTCCTGCCGGCAGCAATATAATGTCTATGGCATATGTAGTTCTTAGAAATTGAATGTACACCACATGCTGGGAATCCAGGAAGTTGATAAAAAAGACATCTTGCAGATAGGCAGTGCTCACAACATGAAAGAGTTTTCAAGTAAGATCATAATGGATTGTCAAAAATGACTAACGTTTGAATTGCTATTACAATGCTGATGTTATGGAAGGAAAGTGTATGCGGTGACTTTCAATCTCCTTTAAAATAAGGGATTATAGGAAATAACACAGTTAATAGTTACCAGCTCACCCTAATTAGGCTTCTTCCGGGTCCCCAAATGTGGTGCACAATTCACACCCTCTCACCTGGTAAATAGACAAACATCCAATTGATCAGCACCTCCAATATGGAGCTAACATCCAAATGATATTTTTCAGGATAAACAAATTTAATTCCTTAAAGGAGAACTATGAGGTGAGTGATTTTCACTCATCCTCATAGTTCTAGTCGACGTGTGACAATGAGACTGTCACAGGTCGGCTCAGTAGATTGGGAAGTGAGCGAACACATACCGGCGCTTGCTCACTTCTCGATCCTGTCACTGCATAGAGCCGTGACAGGGGAGGGGCTGGATTCCCCCCTCCCCTGTCCGATCGTCCAGCGCTGACTGGTGGAACGGACGGGGGAGGGGGCGGGTACAGCTGGCTCTGCCTCTGGATAGGCAGAGCCAGCTGTCACCCACGCAGCTGGGTGGATCCAGACATAATTGTCTGGATCCGTTACAGCTGCGGCGTCTCAGTATATACAGCACTGCAAAGATAGCACATTTTGAACAGGAAGGTCTTTATGGATTTGATGAAGACCTGCCCAGTTGGTACGCATTACCTTTTGCTGTGGTGTGAATGTATATTAGCAAATGCATTGTGCTTAACCTGAAGATTAGAGTTTGGATTTTATCTTGATATTGGAGGTGCTGATTTGCTATGAGAAATAACATAGTAGTTACAGTCTTGACGGTTCCTATGCTTTAGCTTTATGCGTAATAGCATAATAGTTATATGGCTGTTTCCTCATCTGGAAAACTGGAGGGTAGTATATGAAATAATTGGTATATGCCAGAGACATATAGATGAAACAGCTATACAGTGGATGTGTATGAACTCTCGTCCTTCCCTCCTAGCTGTTTGCACCATATACACTTATAATGAGGGCTTAGCTGGAAGGAGATGGGTACATTCAGGTGGGATTTCATGTTCTTGCCAGTCTGTCTTCACTGAAGTACAAGATAAAATATCCTAAAGTGAACCTGCTCTCAATTTAAAAACTTTTAAAAGTAACAATTATACATAAGTGCCAACCCACCAGATTCCTGTTATTATCTTTGTTAGCCAGAAAGAGCTCAACCCTTCTCTGATTTACTTTTACATTCTATCTTCTATTTATATTGTAGTCAGTTGATTTTTCATAAAGTACCGTTCTGGACTTAATACTGGTGTGGCCCAATTACTCCTATCTATTGGACAATGGAATGCAACTAATGGAGATTTGCTATTAAAGCATGAAAAGTCAGGCCGAAATAACAAAGTGAACTTAAATCAGAGAGGGGCGCAGAAGAGAGGTTTTGGCAATAGCAGGCACCTTGTACTTTTAGGCAGAGCTTTTAAATGTGAAGCTTTAAAATGGAGTATAGGTTCACTTAAAGGCAGTCCTTGTGTTTGCCCCAACAGCATGGGTAGTTAAAGCAGAAATGTTTTTTTATGTGCTAATTTTTGTCTAGATGCTAAAAAAAGTTATACTCTCCTGATTCTCGGAGCCTGCTTGCTCTTAAACCTGTCCCTGTAGCCTCTCTCTTCCTCCGCTGCATCTGCCTAAGGATCCTTGATACAGTGTATAGGACGTCAGGACGCCAAGGGACATGCCATCGCTGCAGCAGAGGCTTCAGGGACCGGAGTAACAGCCAGCCGACTCCGCAGTTCAGCTGAGTATAACTTTTTTTCAGCCCCTAGACAAAAACGAGCACTTAGCCCTTGCACTGTAGGGTTAGCGCCACTGCAAGGGTCAAGAACACTTTTGCCTGGAGTTCTGCTTTCATACATGAGACTGAAGGAAGCCACTATAGAACTGTCTCAGCATGTGCACTGTTAAGCCATAAAGGAAACCTTTCATAATCTCTGGGCCGGCCTGATGTGCTGTGAAGTGGTCTGGTGGAAAATTGTCATCTGGCCCCCCTGCCACCCTTCTCCAACTACAGAAGGTGTAGTCCATCACATCATGGAGGCTTAGGGACTACTACTGTACAAATCCAGTCTGTGCGTGTGATTGGCAACGCTTCTTTCTATTGTCATAAATGTACTAAATTATATAACTGGGATTTGTGTTTATCTCAACAATATATTATTTTCTATTTGGAATAGGTGTGAACTCTTTCCAGGTGTACATGGCCTACAAAGATATATACCAAATGTCAGACAGCCAGGTATTTCATTCTACTTTTTTGTCTCTCTGTGAGATTTTATTCGATTACTGCAATATCTTCTGTACTGTATATAACCCATCAGTCAACACTGTTTCCTTCTATAATTATACTCTATAGTGGGCTTTATTCAGTGTAAGTCCTAAAAATAAGAACTGTCTGTGTTGCTAATATGACGTGCTACCTTTACTGAAGATAAATTTCACTGCAGGCAGAATTGCTGGAGGCAGGATTTTTCTTTAGAAAAAGTAACTCATTGTATTGGCATTTTTCAGAGGTTGCTGGGATAAGTTAATTGCATGACACCTACCAAAGTATATATTCTCCTTATATGCCTAATGAGAATCTACATTGCCTGGCCAAACAAAGGTCACCACCTGGATTTATCTAGGCAAATAGGTAAGAGTCTTCCATTGGATAATCACTACAGTGTTTGATTTGTTTCATCTGGGAACAAGTTAACAAAGCCTAACTGATGCATTCAGTAGCTTCTCATTTCTTAAACAACCATGTCAAAAGATATATGTATCGTGTGGTCGTGGAAAAGATGTAACTGTTTCAGAAGGGTCAAATTATCGGCCTATATCAAGCAAAGAAAACTACTAAGGAGATTGCTGAAACCACTAAAATTGGGTTAAGAACTGCCCAACGCATTATTAAAACCTGGAAAGATAGTAGTGAACCATCATCTTTGAGGAAGAAAATCTTGAATGATCGTGATTATTGGAGATCACTTAAATGTTTGGTGAAATCATATCGGAACAAACCAACATTAGAACTCACGAATAATGGAAATTAGAGAGCGCTAAAGGACCTCAACCTAAATAGTTAACACACCTAAATGTTTATAAAGTGCACAAATATGTGCAAAAAGCAAAACACTGGTAATAGTTGATAGGTCTCATACACATATTTATTATAAAATAATCACAGTGATAAGAAAAAAAGGGTCGAATTCCCCAATGTATATGTGACCAATGATAAATACGTGATCAATAATTCATAAGTGATGCACATATTTATGCACTTTATAAACATCTAGGTGTGTTAACTATTTAGGTTGCGGTCGTTTACCGCTCTCTAATTTCCATTATTCAGTGCTCAAACCTTTGGTTTGTATTGTTGGAGCGGCTTAGTGACCCCTAGTGACAATATCCAGTAGCGCAGAACATATATATATATTTATATTAGAACTCACGGCTTTATCTAATAGTCAAAGTAAAAGCATTTCCACGTGCACAATGTGAAAAGAACTCAAGGGATCGGAACCAAACAGCCGTGTAGGCTTAAAATAGAACTATGGGGTAAGTGGTTTTCTCCATAGTTCTCCTAATGGTCACAGGAGGACATATTCTAGCGTTTTCCCATAACCCAAAGCTCAGTATATAGCGGGCTACAGCTTGCGGTATACTGAGACCGCCGCAGCCGGGATGGATCCCGACAATTGTGCCGGGATCCGCCCAGCTGCGTGACTGACAGCTGGCTCTGCCTATCTAGAGGCAGAGCCAGCTGTACCCGCCCACTCCCCCGTCCGTTCCTCCAGTCAGCGCTGGAGGATCAGAGCGGGGAGGGGGGAGCGGTGACTGAGGGTCACGGCTCTCTGCAGAGAGATGATCGAGAAGTGAGCGAGCGACGGTATGTGTTCGCTCACTTCCCAATCTATTGAGCCGACGTGTGACAGTCTCATTGTCACACGTCGGCTCGAACTCTGAGGATGAGTGATTTTCACTCACCTCATAGTTCTCCTTTAAGAAACCCACTCATCAGTGAGGCTAATCGGGGGAAAAAAGCTTCAATTTGCTAGGGAGCATAAAGATTGGAATCTGGAGCAATGGAAAAAGGTTATGTGGTCGGATTAGTCCAGATTTACACTGTTCCAGAGTGATGGGCTCATCAGGGTAAGAAGAGAGGCAGATGAAGTGATGAACCCATCATGCCTATGATCTGGGGTTGCTTCAGTTGGTCAGGTCTAGCTTCAGCCACATTATGTCCCCAAAATGAGGTCAGCTGCCTTCCTGAATATACTGAATGACCAGGTTTATCCATCAATTGATTTTTTCTTCCCTGATGATATGTGCATATTCCAAGATGACAATGCCAGGATTCATGGGGCTCCAATTGTGAAAGAACAGTTCAGGGAGTTTGAGACATAATTTTCACACATGGATAGGACACCACAGAGTCCAGACATATTGAGAATCTTTGGGATATGTATGAGAAGACTTTATGCAATGGTTCCACTCTCATATTATCACTACAAATCCTTGTTGAAAAATAAATGCAACTCCAGACGGAAATAAATGTTGTGAAGCTAAAGGCAGTCTAATTAAATATTAGATGAGTGTGTGACTTTTTTTGGGCCAGGCAGTGTATAAAGAGGACAGCATCTCTCTCTCATTTTCAAATCTTATCTGCGCAAACTGAAGAGAGATGCTGATAGGTTGCTATGGGCAACTGCTGCACATTCTGTCTGCTCCAGTTTTGATAAATTTCCCCCATTACATTTTTGAAATTGTGTCACTGGTTGTTGTGGGTATTGGATTAAATATTTCCTATTTCAATGAAAGTAGTAAAAGGTTTAGTTCTATTCATTATTAATTAATGTCATTATTTTAAAGTAGTATCCTGTTTTTTAATCCATCAGGAGTTCTTCTTTATGTGCTGTACATGGACCCCCTAGAATGTCTACTAAATACATGGTTTTATTATTCTAGCTCTCTTATGTATGTTAGCAACACTTTGCAGTACCTGCACAAATCAGTCATTTCAAGTGATGAGGAAATATTAAATAATAGTGAGGTGGGCTAAAAGGAACCAAAAAACCCTCCTTTGAACCAGTGTGAAGCACAGTAGAGCATTCTTAAAACAGAAGGTATATATATGTCTCCCTTCTAATACAAATCTCATAATATGGGAGATCTCATAATAAGGGTTTTATTCCTTATTTTTATGATTGTGAATGGAGCCATTCAGAACTTTTTATGTCCCTGTGCCAGCCTAATAATATAGAACTATATATTTCAAGTAGCCGTTTCAGGCTTGTTGGCCATCATCAGTGCAGTGTATAAAAGTCATAGCTATATGTAGTAGAACTTGAGGAGCAATAATGAAGTATAACCAGAAGGGTGGGCTAAAGGGAACCAAAACCACTGAAGCAGTGTGAAGCACAGTAGACATACCTCCCAACCTTTTGAGATGAGAAAGAGGAACACCTTCCAATACAGTGTATTTAGGCAACCGCCAGTTATGCAGAACATTAAGAATTCATATGCCAAAAATGATTGGTTAAACTTAGAATTTTTTTTTCGCCATTACTTTTCCTTTATCCTGGCTTTTCGGACTAACAAAGAAAATAATTAAGGGAAGAGATGAAGGTTTTAGTGCAGAATAACACTTTTGGTAGTTAAATAGAAACTTTACATAGATATCTGTACATCAGACCAGAAGGAGGGACAACTGAGGAGGAATTGTTGGGACGTATGCAGTAGTAGAGCCTTCTTAAAGCAGAAGTGATGCAACAACTCTTAAAGTCTTCCTGAGTTAAAAGCAGGCCCAGTTTGAGTAACCTGTCTCTAAAATGTTTTATTTTCTTTGTTTTTTTTGTTTTTTATTAGCTATACGAAATCTTCACCTTTCTGAAGGAACATGGTGCTGTAGTCATGGTACATGCAGAAAACGGGGATTTAATAGCTCAGGTAAGAATGTGTGATGCAACGTGTGTAGTTTCTGTGACTATGGAACCATGGAATATTTGAGATTTTGACCAAAAAAAGTGTGGGAGGCCAATGACAGATGATTTATTTGATATTACTTTTGACTTTGTGAGCTGTGTAGTACATGTACATAAGAAAACATAGTCACTCGTATAGTCACTCGTAATCCTCAATGTAATGCCAGGGAGCAGAATGATCGATTGACAGCTTGGGTATTGTCATAGCATGGGTGTGTATATGATTATGCAGACAGCAGCTGTCAAATATTTTCTATTGCGTGCTCACTTTAACAGAGTGGTGGGATACATGTAAAAGTAAGCAGCATTTGCTAATAGATTATGCTATCAGCTCACTGATCTTACTGCTTTTTAGTATTATCCATGCAGGTTCTCTTTAAAGTGTTGCTAGTTGCCTGGCTATCAGTTTTAGTACTTTCAAGACCATGACCTAGAACAAGAATGCCACTCAGGAAAGTCTGAATTCCTAATCTGCATACTTCTTTTAAGAAAGATCAAAAGTACCGAAGCCACTGGTTGATAGCCAGGTAGCTACAATATTCAGAAGCAAGACAGCAATGCCAGCCTCCATACTTACTCAATAATGGCTTCCTTCAGGAAATGTGCTGACCCAACCATAGATAACAAGGCTGATTTTTATCAGAAGCCAGCTGGCTGTAGACATCATATTGGGCACATTTGTATCTGCCATTTGTATTCCCGGTATAACTTGCTTACTGGCAGCCAAAAGTATTTGTGATTACATCCTCCGCGAGCTCCACGGTTTTGATTTATTGGATGTCAGATAATCCCATTCCCTGCAGGTGAATCACATCTATGTCTACTAGTGTTTAACCTGAATCTAATGAATCTAATTCTCATTCCGCATCAGTCCTTCCTTTTACTTCTAACTGTTTTATGGTGTATTGATGATCAAGGTGGCAGCAAATGGATTTATAGTGTTTGAAGAACTTCACTATCAATAAATTATTGCTTGTTTTTCCAGCACAAAACTAGGAGTAGGTAGAACACTAGCAGGAGTACTTTCAATTAGGGATGCACCGATATATCGGCCGCTGAAACATATCGGCCGAAAATGGCACTTTTGGCATAATGCAGAAAGTGCCATTTTCCTGCCGATACATCGGCGCATCCCTGATTTATTTCCTCCCCGCTGGGCGCTGCTCTATGTCCCAGCGGGGAGAAGAGAAAGTGACAGCCGGCCGAGCACTGCGGTGGAGAGCGCTGTGAGCGGCCGGCGTCTCCTCCCACACCACTCTGCCGCCTATCACAGTCCGGCAGAGTGGTGTGGGGCGGAGACAGTGCTGTCACAGGAGACTGGGCTTTTCTCCCTACACCGCTTGATCAGCCTCCTGTGACAGCGTGTCCGAGAGAAGAGCAAGGTACACACACTCAGTGATCAGTGATCGCTGAGTGTTTGTACATAATTGAGAATATGGTATGTGTACTGTATCCTCAATTATGAATTAATGGGAGTGATCTACATCACCCCATTCATTCATAATTGTAGTTATAGTAAACAAACAATGTACTCATGTTATCAATGAACAGGAAGACTCATAGAGGATTCCTGTTCATTGATAACAGGGGACACAGAAAAAGAGATTGAGGACTTTGTGTTCTCAATCTCTTTTTCTATTTTAAAAGGGAAATATCAGGGGTCTGTTTAGCCCCCTTATATTTCCCAGAAGCCCCTAAAAGTAAAAGTAAACAATAAAAATATTTAATAAAAAATGAATTATTAAAAATAATATACAAAAATTAAACAGTTTATAAAAAATAAATTAAAATAAAATATAAAAGAAATTGAAAAAATAAAAAACATTTTCAGTATCGGTTTCGGCCTGACATTTTTTAAAATTTCGGTTTCGTTTCGTTTTTAAAATTTCCATTTCGGTGCACCTCTACTTTCAATAATATTCAAAATCTTACGATAGCAGTTTGGGACTCTGATTCAGACTACACCCAGTCAGTCAACGTCTTTTGAACGTTTCATACTGTGAGTGCTACCTACCCTGAGTTGTGCAGGAAACTAGAGATCCCACAGCAAATCCATATCATTCATTAGTTACATAGTTATTTTGTGAACAGGTATGGAGGTAGTTCTGGCACTGATCAAGGTTGTCATTAGACATGTGAGGCCTGTATGATTTCACAGGCTATTGGGTCTTAAAACCAGCTGATGGCATCCTTTCCAATACACCCTTAACCATAGGTCATAATTACAGGCATAGCAGTCCAAGCAGCTCCTATTGGGCCTTGAGAGTGAGTGTGGGGGTGGGGGGAGTGGGGGTCCCTGGTCCATGTATGAAAAGAGACTGTAAAAAAAATATTGCTTATTGACTATAATCACTATCCTCCACTCCGTGATTGCAAGGCTGAATGCTGGCTTAAGTGCAGGCTACTTTTCTGAGCAGTGGTCAAACGTTGTTCCGCCCACCCAAACCAACCTATTACCAGCCTACAGCTAGCCATACACCAGTAAAATTTTGTTTGACATTTTTCATTTTTGGAATGTTTTTCGGTTCTCTAATAGTTATTGGGGTCTAATCAATGTTAATTTTCATGTAACAATTCAGCAGGGACCAAGACAGAGTTTGATGGTGTGGTAACACCATCATGGATGTTCCCTTGGTACTGGTGTTGCTTTCTAATTTTTTTTTTTGCATGTTGTCACAGTAATTTTATATGCATTTTCCCCATAAAAAAATAACATTACAATTTCTAATGACCAGGAACAAAAGCGGATCCTGGAAATGGGCATCACTGGACCCGAAGGACACGCACTGAGCCGGCCGGAAGAGGTACATTAGTTATGCTGCAAGGGCTTTAATTGCCTTCTTACAGGCATCATTTTTTACCCAGAACCTGTTGCCAGACTATGGATATGTTTTTACCAAGCAGTAACTGAGCTTTAAGATTAAGACAAGCTCTCACTAATTTCTGAAGCTGTAGGCACTGTGGAGAAATCTATCCTCAAAGTTCACAGCAGAAGCACTGAAGTCATTCAAGTCTTTATGTCAGCAGCTCAGCTTCCCCCTGATACTAATGGCTGTAATATGTAAAGTAGACATGACCCTTTTTGTTAATGCAGAGCGGGTGCTTTGCCTGCTAATGCATTAGTGCATTATGATGGCAATTAAAATAGATGGCGCCACCATGTACTAGAGTATTGCTGTGCATTGTGGTAGTGCATAGATCTGAACAGGGCCTGTTACAGTACTCCTTTGAAATTGCTTTGTACTGAGGCAGAGCCAGCTGTACCCGCCCCCTTCCCCGTCCGCTCCGCCAGTCAGCGCTGGCGGATCGTATCGGGGGGGAATACAGCCCCCCTCCCCTGATCGAGAGGTGAGCGAACGCCGGTATGTGTTCGCTCACCTCCCGATCTACTGAGCCGACCTGTGACAGTCTCATTGTCACAGGTCGGCTAGAACTATGAGGTGAGTGAAAAGCACTCACCTCATAGTTCTCCTTTAAAGTGACACTAAACTCAGGAGTTAAATCCTAAAAATAATTTCAAGTACCATAATTATTAACATTAATGTACCTTATTTGTGTATCACTCAGCTGTAGATCCTCAAATCATCTCTGAATTGGTGCTGACACTGTCCTTCCTTCTGGAGAGTGGCTACTTTTGTTTCCCATGGTCCCTGTGTGTGTTGTAAAGTAGTCACTGCTCCAAGCTCACTACCGTGATGGACCTTTAGTTTACAAATTTGTGTTGAAATTATAGTCCATCACGGGAGCGAGCTTGGAGCGGTGGCTGCTTTACAACACACACTGGGACCTCCAGAAGGAAGGACAGTGTCAGCATGAATTCAGAGATGATTTGAGGATCTACAGCCGAGTGATACACTAATAAGATACATCTTTGTTAATAGTTGAGGTACTTGAATGTATTTTTAAGATTTAATTCCTGAGTTTAGTGTCACTTTAAGCTTTAGCAGTACCTGTATAAAACATGCAGCCTTTTCCCAACAGTTGTTTAGTCCCAAAGATAAAGGAAATTTGGTGTCAATTAAGTCTTTTACATTTGTAAGGTAAGTAAACATTACTTTTTGCCAAATAGAACAACGAAAAAAAAACAAAAACTATTGAAAGTGTATTTACTGTTTTGCATGGAACTGACTTTGAAGAATTAATATTATAAAAATATTTTTTTGGATTGCCATTATTAAGAGTAAGTGATGCAGTGTTGGGTTTTATGGATTGGGTTTTATGAATGTGAAAATGCTATTATCCACATAATAATTTAACCATGCCGCAAAGATGATAACATTTCCATAGGAGCAGAAATGCTACTTTCGGATCTCCTTGGTGGTTATTTTTTTTTTCATCCGTTGATACTTGTTTTTCACCGCACAGGAAATTATTCAGAGTGCTGAGAGACTATTTTGTAAAAGAAAATATGAATTTGAAGAAAAATAATAGCATCATACTGTATACATGGCAATTATAGTAACGGGGTTAAAGGCGGATATGCAGACGGCAGCTGGATCATCTCAGATAATGAATAGATTTGAGATTTTGATTGACTCAGGGCAGCCTTGTTATGTAGCGGGTAGCAGCACCATGCAAAGAGGAAAGATTTTTGCCTTATGTATTAATGTATTCACCAAAGTTGGCCATACAAGTGGCAATTTTCAGTCTATTTAAACCGTCCACTGGTAATTGCGAATAGAACCCCAAGTAATTGCCAGAAACTAAGAAATATGCCACCCAGGAGTTAGATCGACCACTGGAACTCAGTCATTTGTGAAGCCAAAACTGGGCCATAAATTGACAACTTGAAAATGTATTAGAAGATCCAAATAAAATGGGATCAAAGAGGGAAAATTTAGACCAAGTTAGTTGGATTTTTTCCCCATGTTTGATCGGGGCAATTTCAATTCTATCACTTTGTGGTCGATTGAAAATACCATTTTTTTAAAAACTGAAGTCTTCTTCAGAAACTGACCCTTCCGGGAGTGTCCCTCTGGTCCTCCACTACTCACAGTGTTTTTCCCACTGACACCCCCTCCCCCAGTACACAATAGATCCTGTTTTGGTTTGGAAGGAAATATTGCTGCAACAGCTCACTTAGCAGAATTTAAGTGTTGCCTGAGATTTTGCAACCAATTTGCAGTGAAACAATTTTTACCAAAAGTTCTAAATAAGGCCTGGGCTGTATTTACAATAATGGCTGTCGTGGGCCAGTGCTGAGGGCTGCAAGGTTAGAGGGGCAGCTTCAAGCCTCTGAATGAATCATTTTTGATAACATTTTCCTATTTTGTTTCTCTATTCTGGTCACCTTTGTGGCTAAATTCAGCAAGAAACCTGAAGTGGGATAGAGGTGCAGGGGATATTAAGAAGAGTCAGAAGACTCAATACAGTTTACGAAACCCAAAACCATCTCTTCTTTCTCTTGGTTGATGATCTATATGGATAAAAGATAGTTCTGCATATTAACCAGACCCCATGCTGCCCCCAAGAGCTCATTCTAGTGGACCTTTTTGCCAAAATAATCACGACACAAAGAGGCAGATCTTGTAAAAATTGGTTTTATCATTTAGGTGTGTCTTGAGAACCTCTGTGGACCTTGAAGCAACCTATGCACTCAATCATCCTTCCCTGATCTGATTTTAGTAACATGAAATCTAGCTGGCTCTGATGGCCTTTTATTTTTTAAACACTATTATTGTTTGACTGCTTTACTCAGTGCTGAAGTCCATCCCTATGGTGTGCTGCATTTAGCGAAACACTCAACTTTCCACATGGAGATGGCATTTCTGCATATTTAGCTGTATGTATAAAAAAAGTTGCTTGCTTAAAAGTTGCTTGCTTTGTAATGACAAATGCCTTTGTGCTCTTCTCTGACAGCTGGAGGCGGAGGCAGTGTTCCGGGCCATAGCTATAGCAAGTCAAATCAACTGTCCAGTGTACATTACCAAAGTGATGAGCAAGAGCGCCTCTGATGTTATTGCACAAGCCAGGAAGAAAGGTACGATGTTCGCTCACTTTGAGGTATTGCTCAGGTAAATAAGAACTCTGCTTAACACCATTTACATCTCAACTGGTCATTCAGCACAGCCCTGGTATGATCTAAGAATGACTACATCTTTCACTGCACACAAATGTGCTTAGGAATAAAAAGTGTTATAATGAGGATTTTTTTTTCTTTGCCCAATTCAATCAATCAGCGCCCTCAATAGACAGAAATGGAGCGGCTCACACATCCATTCCCACTAATGGAACCTCTGTACCAGATGAGGCTTCTGCCCAAGCCTTGAACCCAAGAGTCCATAGATAACCGGCACTTAAAAAAGGATCAGTCCAGTAATATAAATTTATTCCCAAAAAGGCATAAAAACAGTTAATAACAAACTCAAAGGCTTGTTATTTATGCCTTTTAGAGGATAAATTGATATTATGGGACTTATCCCAATTAAAGTGCTGGTTTTCTATGAACAATCAGCACCCTTTTTTTATTTCTAAACCATGGAGGGCACAAAAGACATTGGCATGCATGTGAGGCTGGCCATACACTGTTAGAATTTCATTCACAGGAACCAGCATACACATCTCCCCGCCCTGGTTGCCAGAAGATGGGTGGAATGCCATCCAGTGCGTCCCCTGTCACTCACCACTATTCCCAATATTTAAAATTGCTAATTTCTGTAGGCGCCTATAGATGGTGCAGCCAGAGACAGTTTTTCCCTCCTTTAAGCTAAGTCACATTAGTAGAAATAGTTATATCATGGAAGGTTATTTAAATATTGTCACAAAATATTAAACCAGGTTAGGACCAGTTAAATAAGGAAATGTCCAATTTCAAAGAACAGAGTGCTAATTAGAGTGCTAAATGTTGTGTGCCTGCAAGCTCCAATGGTGAAATCTGGTCCTGCTAAATGCACAAGCCCTTATCTAGATTTTTGTGAGCTGAGCCTTATAAACATCAAAGGCTGTCAGCTGAATTGGAAGATGGCGCAAGGGTTGTTCTTGCCTCCTCTGTCTGGCTTCTGCTGCCTCTTTCAGGATGACCCCTGATGCCGCTACACACAGAAACATTATATAGGGGAAGGAAGCTTGTATACTGTATTTATGCTAGAAGCTGCACAGAATGGTTGGAGCTGGTCCGGGAGCTGCTGACTTGTTCCTTTTGAAGTATTTAAACTGTTTAGTGTATGGTAAGATTCTCACAGGAGCACAGTGTCCCTTGTGATTGGGAGGTTGGAGTTTAGTGTTTTACATTCTAGTCTGCTGAATTAGGGCAGAACACACAATAAATAAGGGACGGAGGATACTTTTGAGATCTATCCTCTCAGTTTAATACTCCACTAGTGAGAGACACTTTCCCTCCACCCATGGATGCATCCTGTTAAAGTATGCTTTTCCTAATGGGATAATATACATACTAATCTAAAGCGTAGATGTTTTTATTCTAATATACTGTTTTACAAACCATATATGTCATGAGTACATATTTTATATGATTATAAACTATTGGTTCTCTTGGTTTCAGGAGCGATCGTGTTTGGAGAGCCGATTACTGCCAGTATAGGGACAGACGGGACCCATTACTGGAGCAAAAACTGGGCAAAGGCTGCTGCATTCATCACTTCGCCTCCTCTCAGTCCAGACCCAACCACGCCTGATTATTTGACCACCATGTTGGCATGGTAAGTCCTACACAAGTGAAACTCCTCACCTGCAGTTGATTTTTTTTTTCACCATTTACTATATACTCTATTTAGGAAAACATATGGCCACCTTGTCAACTAGAAAGAAAGCTTTTACTCCCCGGTACTCCGAGGAGTCAGTCTCACTTGGGCTGACATCCACCACACTGAGCTGTACAGCAGAGAGGCCGCCCAGGAAGATGCCACAATATCCTTGGATTCAAAAAACTCCCAATATATAATAATAATAATGTTGTCAGAATGTTTACTCTGATAAAATAAACAGTTTGTTAATTTATGAAAACAGGCCGGGATCTGTAATTAAAGAGATTCCCAACTTATTTTCACAAATCAACTAATAACTCGAGTTCTTTATTTGCGCTAACTTGAAGACAAAATAAGAACAATAATGTGCAAAAATATATATATTTATTAACTAAAATCAGTGCAAAATAATAATCAAAATATAACTGGTGACAATAAGGAATGTGGGTCAAAAATTACAATAATTTTGATCAAGATAATAATAAAATAAAACCACACAATATAATTCAAATCTTTCAGAAACAAAACTAAGTAACTCTTGGAATGCAATTAGTAACTTCTCAGTAGCTAAATAAAATGCCACAAAATAATGTGCAGATTCAACTTGTGACCTCTCCCAGCCAAACAGATATTCAAAAGCTCACATTTCTACTGCGCATGAACTAACTCATAATACTGTGCACATGACTGGCTAATCAGCCAAGAATATATTTGAGGTAAAGACAAACTTCCACTAAGTTATTTTAGTTTTATGTATAGACTATTGACTAGAAACTGAAATCAGCTTTGAGGATTGATTGAAAGGAATATAATTTTTACTGCAGATAAAATGATTTCAATTCAATCCTGATGCTAACAATGACCAAATGGTTTAGTTAGATATATATGGCTAGTCAATTGCTTACAGATAAATAGAATTGTATACTTTACCAAAAATTGAAAATTCTTTTATCTTAGAGATGTCAGTTTTGTGTCAGTGTAGGGACCAGAGATGTTGTAATGCCTCGCTACTACTGGATATGTCTTATGGATCGCAACTGCGGAGGTTCCCTTCCAGCTGGAAGGATGTGGATCAGTTTATGCAGCTGACCTCTGTTGCCCTGTATTTGGATAGGCGGAGAGGGAGCTGCTTCACATCATACCCCAGGGGTGAAGCGGTAGTGGGTACACAAGTAAGGCCAATACTGCTCAACAGCTATATCAAGCAGAGCTAATGGTATTCAGCACTTGTGGTGATATATATGCAGAGTCAATGGAGTACAGCACAACAGCTATATCAGCAGAGCTTATGGTATTCAGCAATTGTGGTGATATATATGCAGAGTCAATGGAGTACAGCACAACAGCTATATCAAGCAGAGCTTATGGTATTCAGCAGTAGTGATGATAAGCAAGTAATAGTCAACATGCTGGTATAATCTTCCAGTGAACAGATGGGCATAAGCCCCAGTACTTGCGGTTTTGGGAGGCTCTGTCTCAGCAGGGAGACTCCCAAGGCAGACTGATCAGCTCTCTGAGGAAGGATCCAAGTGATAGGCGATGTGGACAGTGAATGATCAGCGTCATGCTACAACCGATAGTAGGACGCCGAACAATCAGTGAGCAGTGGCTTTAAGCCGACTGCTCGACCTGGATGGGGCGGAGCCCCGCGGTGCGACTGCGCAGTCCGGAGCTCCGGCTCGGTGATGAGGGGGCGGAGTCCTGCGGCACGCCGGATGATGACCACTCTTGGCCCCGAGCAGAGGCGCAGGCCAGCGTCGGAGTCCCCTTGCGGACCGCAAGCCGGTACGTTTCTTACAGATGTTCAAGTCCTCTTTGGTTCAGTTCCCCTGGTCAGCCCGTCAATCAGCTTCACATCTCTCCTTTCTGTGTCTGTGTAAGTCCTCCTGTATATGCTTTCCTTTTTTTTTTTTCAGTCTTTCCATTTTTTTCAGTCCCCCTGACCTACGGTAACTTTCTCCTAACTTTTATCACCCAAAAATGTGGGAGGAGAAAGCTTATCTTAACCTAATTATAGTATTAGGAACTAGATCACCATACTCCAATTTACTCCAAATTACCTGAAGAGGGCAATGTTGGACTAGGTATAATTTGGGATTTTTCCTTAAAATTCCAATATTATTCCATGAGATGACCTCTGACCTAAGTCTATAAAATTAACCACTTGCTGACCAGGTGTTTAGACCCCCTTCCTGTCCAGGCCATTTTTCAGCATTCAGCGCTGCAGTACTTTGACTGACATTTATTCCGTCATGCAACGCTGCACTGAAATGAATTTTATACCATTTTTTGGGGACAGATAGAGCTTTCTTTTGGTGGTATTTAATAACCACTACGTTTTTTTTTTACTATATAATGAAAAAAGTACTGAAATTTTTGAACAAAAACCTGTTCTCATTTATTATTACCCAATTTTTTGGTAAAATATAAAAGACGGGGTCACTTCGGATAAATAGACACCAAACATGCTAAATCGCAAAAAACTACCATTTCCAAAATTGACAATAGCCGACGCTTTAAAAGCTTTTACCGCTCAGCAGGTTAGTGTTATCAGTGATTAATGGCCCTAGAATGATTGCTCTCGCTCCGACGTTCGCGGCGATATGTAACATGTGCTGCACAATGGATGTAATAGTTGTTTTCGCACGTAGGCGGACACGACGCATGTTTGCGTGTGCATGTGGGGGCGGGGCACTTTAATTTTTTAAACATTTTTTTATTGCTTTGATATGTGACTTTTAATTTTTACATTTTTTTTGTAACTTTAATTTTTTTAAACCTTTTTTTTTTCACTAAACTTTATTGCTATCACATAGGGAGCAAACAAACTCCCTATGTGATAGCCAATTTGCAGTGACAGGTTCTCTTTATGGAGACATCAGGGATTTTTAAGACCTCTAATGTCACCTAGGAACCCCCAGAGAAGCTGATGAAGCAGAGAACTGCTTCACCAGCTTCTCTCCGGTTTCTGTAACGGAGAGTGACAGAGGAATGCGGAAGTGATGTAATACACATCACTTCCTGCATTCCGAGGAGGAGCAGGAGATCAAACGGAGATCGTGTATTGATCTCTGTTTGATCTCTGGTCACAGAGCTGCTGTGCTGGTCCCGGGCTCACACCGGGAACAGCGGAGCTCGGGATCGCTAGCAGCGGCTACAACGGAGGGGGCGCACACCCGCATGCATATGACAAGCGATCGGGCGTCTCTACAGACGCCCGAACGATTGTACATAAACAGCCATCGCTGGCTGTTTACATTCAAAGATGATTTCCCATTCATGCACGCCGCCTAGCGGCGGGCACGAGCGGGGCGGGATGGGTAGTTTAAAAACGCCCACCCACATTCAAGAAGCCGCTGTCCGGCCGTTTAATTACAACAGCCGGACAGCAGGTGGTTAAGAATTAATCATATCTTAACAGAACATGTCAAACTTACTGTGTCTTTAAGAGATGTATAGCTTGAGAAAGTCTGAACAAGAAAAACAATACAATTTTCTTCCACATACATTGAGAATGAATTCATCTACTAAGACAGTGGTTAACTTAAATTATTTCCCTGATTACAACAATAACAATATACCTAAATTATTTGTACTTTTAAAAAACACCATATTAAAAATATATACAAATATGTGTCAATAAGTACAACCAAATGATTTATATGGTATATAGGTTGAATATTGTATATAAAAAAAAATGACTCTATTAAGTAAATATTTAGATGTTTCATGCAATACGAATTATTCAATTGAAGATATTAGTAATGACATTCCTATCCAATAATAATAATGTATACAAGGTCATTTGTATGATGAGCTCTTTTTCCTATGTGGTGAGAAAAGAAAAACAAAATACCATTATTCTTAAGTTTGAGAAATGTCAATTCCATCAATCTCATACTAACACAGTCTGGTACCATGGTCAGTCCTTATCTCGTTGTTGTTGTTGTCTGGTACCCCCATAATTTACAACCTGGGAATGTGTGTGGTAGGTCTCTGAGAATGGCTGATGTTAGAGTCTTTGTCCAGATACCATGAATTCAAATTCACCATATATACTGATAGAATAGAGAGAACAAAGATGGATTCCAGGATGCCCATATTACAATATGTAGAACAATATGTATAGGCCTTATAGTTTAATTCCTTTTAGCCCCAAATAGTTCCGACCAATGTAAAAAATAAAAAAAACAAATAGGGATTACACGGGCTACAGATAATAGAAACAAAGTGCAGAATGTTTTTGTTCAGAGTCTATTATGATTAGATAATGTCTTTAGAACTCCAACCAGAACATTTCTTTTTTACTTTTGGAACAGAACCCCTGTTAGGTTTTTATTGCTGTCTTTATCTCCATTGAGATGATTGTCCCTCACGTCCTGTGTGATCACTGGAACAGAAAGTTAGCTGAGAACTCGCCAATGGAGACAGAGCAGTGAAAGTCCATATAAGCCTTGCAAAATTTTAGGACACAATAAGGACATAATGGGGGGAATTTATCAAAGCGATTGTGACAGTTTTAGCTTCTTAGATCATTATTTTGTATGTGCAGATCCGTTTAGGTGCTCCTTTTAACATGAGCTTGCATCCTTTTGACCAGAACTTGCACTATTTTTCCGATTGCGCGTGTTTTGCTCCTGTTTTGCATGTGTTTTGCGAAAGTTCGCAACTGTTTACATCTGCGGCTGTCTGAAACTGAAGCATCACCTAACAAAAAAATTGCAACTTAAGAAGTCCACATGACCACTTCTTCAAGACGCGACAGTTAAGCTTTTTGACTGGAGTAATGAGTCTTCTTTCCTGGAGTCTATTTAATATCATTTATGAACAACATTACACTAGCAACCAAAATATGGCGCAAATATTTCCCACGCGACCATATGCGAGTTCAAACACTCACAATTGCTATGATAAATTCCATTATCTGCATTAAATTCAACAATGATTCCAAGGCAAATTTTGCTGTAGAATCCCCTTTTTATCGGTATCTATAAGTACATGCAGTATAGCGTCCCCGTTTATTCATGAATATAGCCCTATAAGCTCAAAATGTATTTCCAAGTGCTCAGTTTGCAATCGTATTAATTTATCTAATATCTCACTTACAGTTTGCAAGTTCCCTTAAAATGTACCATTGTCTATCAATAAAGGCAGTTTTCCTGCTTCCTACCCGCTCCTTGCCATCACTCCAGGATGCTGTTTCAGGCTAATAACTAGATATGGAGAAAATTGACCCTGTTTGATATTAATGTTTTTAGCAAATGTATGTCTGGATTTAACTAATGCTTATAATCATTGTGTGTGTGTCTAGGGATATTGCCAGCTTTGCTTTAGTCCCTAGTTTTGAATTGAATTGAAAATTTATCAAAATCATAACATTTCTGACAACTGTATTTATTTATTTTTTGAAAAGTGACAGCTCACAAGGTAAAAGTGCATTCAGATTCAGTTTAACATTAGAGTTCAGTTTACTTGTTTCACTTTGTTGGGATTTTTTTTAAAGATTTAATGTTCAAGTTCTCCTTTTTCAAAAAATTGCCCTAGCTCTCCTCCCTAGCCCTCTCAATACTCACAGCTGTGATGCCGCCTACCCCTCCACCTCCCTCTGCAGGTCCTTACTTACCTTCTCTAATGCCTGCAGCTTCCTACACTGCCCAGCCAATAAAAACTCAGGCTCCATTCACATATAGCGTGTCCGTGCGTGACAATGCAAACGGTAAAATCTTTCATCCGCACGGATTCTGCTTGTTTGCGGCTATTATATAGCCGTGAATGTGCGGAATCCGTCAAAAAAATTGCGATTGAACTATTTTGCGGGCCACGCGGTTTCCTATCGGGCAAGCCATAAAAGTCTGAACAATGCACATTAAAGTGCATTGTTTTTCCTGTTTTTGAGCCGCATCTGTGTGAATGAAGCCTTAGTGTCAGGCTGCGTGCTAATGTCCCCTAGACTTGAATGGGCCATACCCGTATAGCAGGACCAACATTCAAGTCTAGGGGACATTTGTGTACAGGTGTAAGTAGCCCAATACTAGACTTTTACAAGCCATGACAGTGTGGGTGGCTGCAGCCATCGGAAGAAAACATCAACACGGTTTCTCATTATACATTTTAATTTTATACAGTATGTATGAAATGGATCAGAACCACAACTGGGTTCACACAAGATATCTGCTGCTGTTCCTAATTATGTCGTGTTCGGTGCACCGGGAAAAATCACAAACTCAGGGTTAAGGTTTATGAAGATTCTTATTTATTCAGGGCGGTCTCTCTCTTTTTTATACACACATAACAGATGAGTGTTTGTCACACATATGCCCACCTCTGTTATCTCTAAGTGTCTTGTACTATTGGGCAAACTAGAGGAGCTGTTAGTTAAAGTCTTGTGTCTCTCGCTAATTGGTTAGTAAAAGATATCTTCTGCCTGTAGCATCCTCCCTCTCCATTCCTTTCATGTATCATCGGCGCGTTCCCGAATACAGGATATATCTTGGTTACGCATAGCAACGCTAAAGCTGAGTAAGGAAAGTTACAAAGCTAGGAAGCAAATGAAACAAATTCAAACATAGGAAAAGACATTTTCTTGATATGATCCATATTCCTTCACTTGTACATGGGGGGAGCCACATTTCCATTGCTACACAGTGGTTGAACTTTACTGCTGTTTCTTACTACACAAGACTATGAGTTGGCCAACTCAGTAAAAACAATGCATTCAATGTGTAGCTGATTTATTATGTCAGCAGTTGTTAAAGATACACTTAGGGAAACGTGGCAGTGTTTGTGAAACCTCTCTACTCACCTCTCCAGCTCTCCCCTACCACTGCTTCCTCTGTTGCAGTGACAGGTTCTCTTCATGGAGACATCAGGGATCTTTAAGACCTCTAATGTCACCTAGGGACCCCCTGTGGTGGCTGGTGTCAGAGCCTAAAGTCTGGAGTTCAGCTTTAAGTTAAAGGGTATCTATGGTCAAAAACTAAAAATAACTATGTATTATTGAATTTCCATAAGTTCTATCCCACACCTAATAACCATATCCATCTAGAAATTTGTAAACCTACTTATTGAAGATGCCCACAGAGTGTACTTCCTCAATGCACTGACACCATTTCACCCAGCCCTGTGAATATGAACTTCCTTGTGTCACCACTCTCGCAGAGCCTGCCTTCTGAACTACAACTCAACGTCTGAACAGTGTAACATTATGATTGCTTGCTGAATGCAATGCATGATGGGATATGTGGTCTTGAGAAATCAAGATTGCATCACATCAAGCAGCAGGGAAAGAGATGTAAAGCACACTGGGGATCCAGGAAGTTGATGAAAGTGATGGGCAGATGGAAGGCAGCACTCACTACATAAAAGGGATTTCTTCAAGTAAGCCTTGATTACATTATCAAAAACAACTCTAGTATGTATTCCTATTACAATGCTGATGTTATAACAGGAGAGTATATGCTGGGACTTTAGAACTCTTTTAAGCACTGCAATAATAAATCACGATATGGGTCCACTGAATATAAAATATACAATATACTTTCCCATTGAGTATTTCATTCACAGTGCTCTCTCTTACATATTTAAGGTACTAGAATGTAATTTGGGCATGTATGTGATCCTGTAATTGTCCCTTATATGCACCAAATGCCTCCACCGTAGACTAAAACAGTGTGTGACATTTCTTGCAGTGGTGATCTCCAGGTGACAGGAAGTGGACACTGTTCCTACAGCACGGCACAAAAAGCAATAGGAAAAGATAACTTTACTTTAATTCCAGAAGGAGTGAATGGTATAGAAGAGAGAATGACCATCGTGTGGGATAAAGCTGTGGTAAGTAAGAGTTTAGCCTTATATTAGCTATTACAAGTAGCTACAGTCTCCCAACATAGAGAACAAACAGTTTTGAATAGTTACAGATTTTACAATTCGGAAGAAACTTTAAGGGCAATTTCACTTTGAAAAAAAAACGTAAAAAATCTTTAAAAAAATGAATATAGCATATACAGTATAATTGCTGCATCAGCCATTTGGTAATTTAGTGTTATTAAAAATTACATTTCTATTTAAAACTGTAGCCACTGTAATGTTCTAAAGCTATTCAATGCAATATTTTGAGCAGGAGG